ATTTCATTTATATTATCACTGATAATAATACAATACTCTCATTAACTGCAACTCATAGAAATCAATATAACCTGCTTAAATTACCATGAGCATTGTTTTATGCTAGTTTAAAGAAAACAACTCTGAAGAACTTCACAGACTCTGTTAAGATGATATCAGTAGATCCTTCTTGCCAGTAGGCAGATATAAAACTTGCCTGAGTCTGGTTTAGCTGTGATATACTTCTGTAAAAGACATAGCAGGAACAGAATTTGCCTTAAAAAAAAAAAAAGTCTTTGGTTTATATTTTCTAGAAATGACTCCTGGCCTTCCCCAGAAGTTCTTCCACACTCCCTAAATGCCACCAGAAATGTGAGACACGTGCTCTACAGCTGGCCTGTTCAGGAAGGTATGATGGATTTTCCAGAGAACACATTCAAAAAGTCTTTGCTGAATACAGCAGGATTTCTGACCACAACTCCTATTAACTCAAGTGAAAAATAAAAGAAAATGTTGCAGGTTTATGTATTACTACAAATTCTGGTTTTTCAGGCTCTCTTAGGATCAGAGTTTTTCCAAGAATGCTCAGTCATTCTCCTGCAGCAACAGCCTTTTGAACTCCCCCTCAGTCACTCTGAACTGGCCATGGTTCATCATGGAACTAAAAAAAAACCCTGGTAGCAGCAGTGAAAACTCATCCAAAACCCCCACTTCTCATTCTACTGCCAACTTCCTCTCAGTCTCTGGACAATCCTCTGTCAACTTGGTTTTCTTTTTCTGTATTAAGGGAAACAGGAATAGCTCCTCCTTCATTTGGAGCATCTTAAGAGCTAATTTCAGTAGAACAACTCAATTTTTATTGTTACTTCAATCTCATAATATATAACTCAATTGTTATATATTGCCTCTCCATTGGAATAAATTTACTGTCACCACTGATCTGACCATTCCACTTTACAACCATCAAAATAGGACCAATGGTAGACCTACTTGATTTATTGTTCTAATATTGAGAAGAAAGATGAGTCAGTTTAAAAGCTGACTGCTGGAAAACTAATGTTGCTATGATGCTAAGTGAACAGAGGAGAGAGAGCTCACTTGAAAGGAGGTTACTGGTTAACTGGCTTCTCTAATTCACACTCTCAAAAAAGCCCCTTCTGACAAATGCTCAAAAATAAAACACATTTTAAATGAGAGCCCTGTGTCTTATTCCAGTGTTCCCATGCACGTGAAAAACCCCTATTCACATTAAGAAAAAGGAAGTATAAACACATTAGGAGGAAGTGTTAATATTTCCCTTTGTTTTCCTACACAAGGACTCCACATGGCATTCCAAGAAACACTTCAAGGGTGGCCATGTGTGTATGTGCCAATCCAGTTTTCATTCTCCTATCACTGGAATCCTTTTATTGACAGCTCAAAGTACCCAGGACCTGCAGAGTCACCTTGCACTGGCTTTGAACTTCCCTCACAGAAGTTACAGAAGTTTCCTTCCTTACAGAAAGGTGTTGGTTTGCTGCCTTTCCAGGAGTCCCATCTCTCCTTCCTGGCAGCACCTTGTTTTTTATGCTACAAACAGAGGCGTTACTGAAGGTGGAGGAAATCAAGTGCCCTCTACCAACAGGTAGGATAAAACCAAACCTAAACTCTGCCTCCTTTCTCCTTCACAGCCAGACCTGGGTGCAGCATTGCTGATATAAAAAACAGGCTCAAACTTCATGTAATCACACCAAAGATTTGAGGAAACTCCAGAAAGAAGAAAAAGAAATGTTTTGAGTCCATTACACAAACTCTGATTTCTTCTACACTCAAAACACAGGAACATCAGGAATCTCGTACAAAACCAGCAGACTCCAGTAGGGTACTTAGGGCAGTTCCTAAGCCAGCCTGAACACTAAGAGAGTCGGAGTCACCCTTTTTTTTCGGGCAATAAAACTTGGAACTTACACCCACAACAACATCCCGCTCCACAGAATTTTCTGACAGAAGCTGTCCGCAAAGTTGGAGACACATTTTTGAATAATTTCATTTTCTATGTGCAGTATGAAATATTCCTGCTGCACTCCAGAAAGGAAAAGCATCAAAGAGAGCCACTTATGCCATACAAGGTAAAAGTAAAACATTATGCAACTTAACCCATTCTGGTGCTATCAATTGCCTTGCAATTAAGTAATGATTCTTCTTTCTTCACTTTTCTACACCTTCTGCACTCTGGATAAATACTAACTCTCAGAGAGGTGCTCTGCTGGCCTTGGCAAACAATCCTGGCAGACACCCACTTCTGTGAGCTGCTCTTAGACAGCTCTTAACACATTTAATATGGGATAAAGGACCAGAGGTGTTTCACTTTTCTAAGTTAGGAAATCACGTGGTATTTAGACTTCACAAACATTTATTAAATGTTTTTTTCACCTAAGTCCATGGTGCTCATTAAAATGCCTTCTTTGCAAAATTCAATGCTGTTAATATCTCTAAGCCAAACACCACTGACACTGGATCAATATTCTGAAAGGGTTTGGTTTTGTTGTCACAAATGACACTTAAACCAGAGGTCTCAAAAAAAATATGCAGTACCAGGAGATGACAAACATAGTTTGTAAAACATGAACCTTGGATAAAAGCAGCTATTTCAGTCTTAAGACCGATTAAAAATTTTAACTCTGTCCAAAATACCTCCTCATTTATTTATTCTTTTACGCTCAGGGAATGTTATTCTCAAATAATTTTGAACTTCTAACACACAATTCAGGGAGATTACAATATTCTAGGATTCTTCTGAATGAACAGCACAAGCCCAGAGAATCCAAACCCAAATTAATATATACAGCAAACACCCTTAGAGCACTCAGCCTTTGTTGGGAAGAGGCAGAAACATGAGACGTAAAGGGCACAGAACACTTCCCAGAGCCCAAATCTTGGAATGGCAACACCACCCAGTACAGAACCTCTGAGAAGACCCAGGCTACAACAGGATTCTTCCAGACAGGGAGTTGATGCTAGTGCAAACACTAGCGCAAACCTAGGAAGAAGCTGTCCTTTCTTTTCAGTCCCTCATTCCTGGTGTGAAAAGACATTTTTTTGAAAGCTAACATTTACTGTAAAAATTCACAGACGTGTATGGCAGCCCTATGACTTTCCAGCAATTTGTGAACCCTTGTGATCACTGTAAACGAGCAGAGTTTGACCGTACAAGGGACACCCTTTTCTGGAACGTGGACTTGTAATGTGAGGTAATTGTGACACCTGATGGCTGTTCCTGTAATGACCCAAGCACGAGCAGCTTAAATGCTCTTTGGATCCCTGTGAATTAACTTACACTCTCACACACCTTGCACAGAGTCCCCTGATGCTCGAATAAAATCAGCTCAGTGTCCTTTAGCTGAAGCTTTAAGTTCCATGATCCTTTCTATATACCGAACATACAGGACAGCCAAGACTTACCAGTTTTTCAGCACAGAATTAAAACACCTCTCATCCCAATTCCAGCACCTTTTTCCACATCAAGTTTTGCCTCATCTCGCACTGCTCCTTCTGTAGGACTCTGTTCTTGAACAAAACTGCAACAACTCCTCTGAAAAATTCTGACATTTCCTCCCCACTCTAAATAGCTGCACAATTACCAGGGGAAAGGTAAAGTAATAGTTACAGTGACACATATTCTGTTGTCAAAACTGAGTCCTGTGCCTGGACAGCTCCTCCTAGGAAAGCTGGCATCCACTCAGTCTTGCTTTCAAAAAGGTTTCATTAGATTTGTACACAAATAAAAGCAAAACAATGTGTTTCACAGAACCGTAGATGAACAGAGTCTCACAGCTTTCCAGAACACCACATCATTCTAAATCCTCCCATTTCACGGGCACAAAGGACTGAAAGCAGACTGTTTTTAAAGGCAACTACCTGCCCTGTGCATCTGAGAAAAGCCATTCTAAGGAACGGTTAAAATCCATTTAAAAGTACAAGACATATCTAATTTAAGTACATGTTTTAGGCTCTAAGACCCAGCAGAAGTTACCAGAGCTGTAGGTTACCAACCCTGGAGTGATTTCACCAGCGCACCTCCCTTGAATTACCTTCAGCAATTGTGTGGCTGAGAAACAGCTGTTTGTAGACACAAAAATAATTCTACTACTTGTGTAGCAAGACATGTTCTTTCCCCACAATGTTTTGCTTAATGATCCAATTAGTGTTGATACCACCGGACTACACCTTCCTAAAACAAATCCTGATTAACTGGAGAATAACTTCTTCCTACAGCCATCTAGGTTTAGACTTGACTACATATGTGACAAGTCACCACAAACCTTTCCAGTGGGGAAATTCAGTGAAGAAAACCAGTGCTCATTTCATGGGAAGAAGGCACATCAAAGATATTAACATTATTTAAGCATACTGAAATTCATACTTCTCATTTCTGCTGTAGGTTGATGAGCAGAACCAGATGATGGTAAACAATGACAGAACTAAGACTAAGTAACTTTCTTTATATATGTCTTGCCTATTTGTTGCTCAAGTTTCTTCCAAGGATCCTCCTGCATGTCTCAGAAACAACACCAAAATAACAAATGCTATTAATTGCAGTGCATCCTAGCCTGGAATGCCCTTATGGCAGAAGTCAAGCTTGTCTAGACCCAGCAACATCTTTTTAGAGGATTTCATTCCAGCTGAAAGAATACTTATTTCCACCTACAGGAATGCTAAAAAAAAAAAAAATCATTTGAGGAAAAAAAATATCACAGAAGTAGCAGAAATGTCATTCATCAAGTGCATTACACCATGAAAGCAAGTTTCTAAAACACCATTTTTGATAGACACACTGCTACTGCCGTAAATATAACATTGTTCTAACAATAGAGAGAGTATTCTAACAATTATGGCTCCTTCTAATTGCCCAACATTTTGGCATAATGTAGAAATAAACCTTCCTTCCACTTCCCTTCAGTCCTGTTCCAGGTGCAATACATCAAGTTCCAAGAATATGTCACATGACAAAATTCACCAGGGAATAAAGTGTAGGTTCATACCTGTTTGGATCTTCCCTGTTAAACTTTCCTCTGGATCCTACAACCTCTGAAATTCCTTTGTTAAACTCTCATTACTTTCATTATGTAACCAGAAACTATCTACTTTCTTCTCTCTGTCTCCTTCCTGGTATAAAAAGACCTTGTCCTAAACCTAAAAATCATGTTAAAAATTCACATACACGTGTGTGGCAACCATATGACTTTTCAGGATGAACTCAACTTGCAAATTGTGAACACTTGTGATCACTTTGCAAATGAAAGCAGAGTTTGTACAAGGGACACGGTCTTGAAATGTGGGACAATTATGACACCTTATTGCTGGTCGTGTAATGACGTCCAACATTTTAAGGGTAAACAGGTAGAAAAAGCAGAGACTTCGGAGTTTTAAATCCTGGTGAGGTCACAGTGTAGAAGTAACTTACCCACTGCCACAGCCCTGTTTGCAGAAGGGGCTCCCCAGGGCAGGAGATCCCCTTTTGTGCCTGGAGAGCCTTCTCAGAGCTCCCTTAACATTCAGCCACGAGGCTGCTCTGGGGAATGCCCAGCACAAGTGGTTGGCAACGGGCTGGCACCCCAAACATTTCATGAACCCACTGCTACCATAGCAACAGGCTGGCACCCCAAACATTCCATGAACCCACCGCTACCATAGCAACAGGCTGGCACCCCAAACATTCCATGAACCCACTGCTACCATAGCAACAGGCTGGCACCCCAAACATTCCATGAACCCACTGCTACCATAGCAACAGGCTGGCACCCCAAACATTGCCAGCAGCACTGCCTCCTGGGAACCAAATGGTGAATCTGTGGTAACCACAGGAACAGCCTCTCACCAGAAAGCAAAAATCAAGACTCAATCAAAACACATTCTTCTCATCCTGCTGCCAACTCGCTCTCAACCTCATCATCACTTTCTGGGCATTCCTCTACCAACTTGGTTTCATTTTTCTGTATCAAGGGGAAAGGGGAGGGCTCCTCGTTTATTTGGAGCATCTTCACAGCTAATTTCAGCACAACAACTCATGATTATTGTTACCTCAACCTCATAACATACACCACTGTGTAAAATGGCTTCTCCACTGGAATAAATTTTCTGTCACCACTGATCAGCCCATTGCACTTTACAACTGTCAGAACAGGACCAATGTTAGATCTACTTATTCTCTCATTCTGATACTGAGACAAATGAAGAGTCAGCTTAAAAACTTGTTGCTGGAAAACTAATGTTCTTACAACATTAAGTAAAAAGAAAAGACAGATTGCAGCTCACTCAGGAATGTCATTACTGGGTTACTGGTTCACCTAATTCATGCTCTCAAGGAAGCTCACGAATGCTCCCAAATAAAACACATTTTAAAAACAAGAGCCCTGTGGCTTATTCCACTGCTTAAATGCATCTGAAAACCTTCTAATCACAACTCAAAAAAGAAGTATAAAGACATTGATAGAGATTGTGCCTATTTCCCTTTTTTTCCCCATCCAGCTCAGAACAGGTCTATACACACACAACATGCACACATATGTAGCAAGCTCTAACTACTGGATATGATTTGTGAGTCTATCAAAGTAAATACAGAATTTTTATTACCATTTTAAATCAGCTCCAAACCACCTAAATTCATTCCAACTGGATGTAAAGCTAAAGAGAGTGCAGAGCACTCAATATTAATGTATGTCTATATTGGAAAAAGGGAGATGTTTCTCCTTTTCTCAAAGGAGTCCACAGCATTACTGGAATAATTCTGAGCTCTAGCAAACCATTGCCTTTATATTTCCATGTACAAGGATTTGGGCTTTGTTAATGGAGATACTCCAGTTTAAGTCTGTTTTTCTTCATTTACAGCTAAAAGAGTTATATGTAAGTGATTTGGATTCAAAATAGAAATAAATGGCATCTGAAAGAGATTTGACCTTCATAGAAATAACTTACAATATCCACATTTAACTGGAAAACAAGTTTACTGCATTTCTACTATAAATTATATCTTTTTCCCACCTGCAAGTCAGTTACAAACACAGACTCTAATTTTTGCTCAAATTTCCAGCCTTGACAAAGAGTTTCATTTGTACTCTGGATTTCCATCTTATGTCTATCCATAGAGTGTAAAAGTAATTATAGAATGCATTCAGGTCCCCTGATTTTTTTTATACATTAAAATGAAAAGGAAAAACCACCAAAACACATCAGACTCCAATACTGTCGGAGAAGTGCTCTCCTGAGGGGCAGATTTCCTCTATTTTTTGACTCATAACCAGTTGCCTGGTTTCCAGATGTTGCCGTGGGATTTAGGTGCTGAAAAAATCTCCGGAGCAGTTAATTAGGGGTGAGATAAGAAAGGGTTTATTTGCCAAGGCAGAAGATGTTACAAGACGCGCCCCTGTGCCCAAGAGGTTACATTTTATAATACCATCCATCCAATCCCAGATGCGTCCACCCTGTGGCCTTTTCTCTGGACTGCCCCGGGGTCCACCCCCTTAAAATGGGTCTGGGGTGCATTTCGGGACCACCTACTTCATCACCTTCACCATCATCAGAGCACAAAGGGTACATAGTTACCTAATTCTTGACTTCATTCTGTGGTTTAGGCCCAGATATGCTGTTCTGTCAAGTGTCTAGGCCTTGCCTTGACAAACGACTAAACACTTCTGCTGTATTCAGGAGTAGGGCTGATATGGGGAGCATAGAGTGGGGGAAGAGGGTTAAGGAATGTGTAAACAAGGGTGCTACAGGGAAAGGGACAAGGGACAAAGAAGGGAGGGTTTCTGCTTTTAAAACCTACTTATAAAACTTACAAGTCTTACAAATATTAAAAGAAATAAAAAACCATTAGGGGCTTAAGGTATCAGAGAAGAAAAAAAAGCACTGAGCAGAAAGAAAACCTTTTGCATTAACACAGCTCACTAAGTGCTCCAGTTATTCCACATAGCAACTGCATCTTGCCCATTTACCAAACTGGTCATTTTTGTCATGCATAGTATATGCATCAATATATAATTATTTCCAGTTGAACAATGAAAATACTCAGAGAGGTGCTCTGCTGGCCTTGGCAGATGATCCTGTTTCCCCACAGCACCCACTTCTGTGAGCAACTCTTAGCCAGCTCTTAACACATTTAAATTGGGATAAAAGACCAGAGGAGTTTCACCTTTCTAAGTTAGGAAATCACAAGGTATTTAGACTTCTTGAACATTTACAAAACACTATTTTAACCTTTAAAGATCAGAATTTTCAACTTGTGTTGTCAGTGTTCATTAAAATGCTTTCTTTGCAACATCCAATGCTGTTAATATTGCTAATATCCATTGCTTATAAAGGACAGTCTTACAAAGACCTTCTAAGCCAAACACCAGTGAGACTGCACCAACAACATTCTGAAAGAGTTTGATTTTGCTGTTGCAAATGACACTTAGACTAGATGTCTCAAAAAAATCTACAGTACCAGGAGCTGACAAACATAGTCCTGGAGACGTGAACCTTAATCAAAAGCGTCCATTTCAGTCTTAAAACTGATTCATATTTTAAACCTCTATTCAAAATGCCTCCCCATTTGTTTATTCTGTCATATTTAGGGAATGTTACCCTCAAATAATATTGTGAATTTATAATATTCAATTCTGCAGAAAGATTACAATGTTTTAGGATTCCTCCGTAAGAACAGCGCAAAACCCAAATTAATATATATAGAGAGAACCCTTAGAGCACTCAGCCTTAGTTGGGAAGTGGTACAAGAATGACACACAAAGGGCACAGCACCCTTCCCAGAGCCCAAACCTTAGAATGGCAACACCACCCAGTACAGAACCTCTCAGAAGATCCAGGCTACAATAGGGTTATCCCAGACAGGGTGCCAGGCTTATCTCAGGGATGCCACCATAATGCAAATCCAGGGAAAACCATGCTACTGCCTCTGGAGACACCTTCCCTCTGCATTCCTGTACTGTCACTGGTCCTCTTCCAGGAACAAAATATTAAGTTCCAAGAACATGGCACGTGAAAAAAAAAACCATCAGGGAGTAAAGTGCAGCTTTCGATCCTCCTCCTAAACTTCTCTCCTAACACTACAGTCTTCGTAAAACTCTCACTACTTTTGTTGTACTACAAGAAGCTCTCCACTTTCTTCTCTGTCCCTCATTCCTGGTGTGGAAAAGGCTTTTTTTCAAACTAAAAGCAATTTTAAAAATTTGTTCACACGTGTGTGGCAACCATATGACTTTCCAGGAATGGGACTTGCAACTTGTGAGCCCTTGTGATCACTCTGTAAATGAGAAAAGTTTAACTCTAAAGCAACACCATTTTCTGCAACACATTCTTGGAACATGGGGCAATTGTGACACCTTATGGCCGTTCCTGTAATGATCTTCAACATTTTAAGGGTGAACAATTTGAAAACTAGAAAGTTAATAGTTTGAAATCCTGGTTTGGTCACAGGGTACGAGTAACTCACCCACCACCACAGCTCTGTCTCCGGAAGGGGTTCTCCAGGGCAGGAGATCCCACCAAGACCCTTTTTTGCCTGGAGAGCCTCCCCAGGGCTTCCTCCACACTCAGCCATGAGGCTGCTCTGGGGAGTGCCCAGCACAAGTGGTCAGCAATGGACTGTCAACCAAACATTCCAGTAACCCACTGTTACCATAGCAACAGGCTGTCACCTGAACGTTCCCAGGAGAACAACCCATCATTCCATAGTAACACAAATGTGTGGGTACCTGGTACATCCTGGGCTCCTCAGCATGGACTGTGCAAGTTCATTGCAGCCTTTCCTCAGACCTCCCCATAAGCACAAAGAGATTAGCCACAAATAAACATGCAGAAAGTCACCACAATACCCACTTTCCACTAAATTTCTAAGAGAAATCACAGACTGCTGTCCCAAGAACACTATTTATACCCTGCCTTTCCCTCAGGTTGTGAATTTACTCATAATGTTATGCAGGTGGCTCTCACCATCAGCCAGAATGCCTCCCGCTGACTTAATCAATTAAGTTAGGGTTTAGCTTATAAAACCCTTCACTGGAAACTGAGGCAGCTTAGGGAAAGGGGGTATGGTTTGAAGAGGTCATTGTGCCTTTTTAGGCTACATTAGAGAGGCCTTCTTGAAAGGAGAAGAAACAGTGTCATGTTGTTTTTGTCAGGCTTTATGAAACAGGTTTGAACTTTTACTGTTTCACAGGATAATTTAGGTTGGAAAAGATGCTCAAGATCAACAAGTCCAACACTAAACTGTGCACCAAAGAGCCACATTCTAACTGTGCACCTTTTAAACCTCTCCTGGAATGCTCACTCTACTTCCCTGGGCAACCCGTTCCAGTAAAGAAATTCTTCCTAATATCCACTATAAACCTTCCCTGGCACAACTTGAGTCTGTTTGCTTTTGTCCCTGCTAGCTGGGAGAAGACATGAACCCCCAGCTGACTGCAACCTCCTTTCAGGTAGTTGCAGAGAGAGATAAAGTCCCCCCGAGTCTCTTTTTTCCAGGCTAAATACTCCCAATTTGGAGAAATTCTGTCAGTGGGCTAGAGCCCTAAAATATTATTTCAGCACAAATATTGGAATGGGGAGATGGAGGTTAAATGAGTGTCCTTGCTGGGGGGGTGGTGCATTCTACAAATGCAAAAGAAATACTCAGATGACGACGAGTTGCAACTCTACAGCTGGTTTCTGTCAGAGAAGGAAGGATCTGAAAACTGCTTCTTGTTCTGATTTGGATGCAAACAGCAGTTCTTTGGCTGTGCTTCTGTAGGTTCATAACTGCTTGATTTTCTCACTTGGAATAAATACACGGCTAGATTTTTATTTGTGGGGGAAAACAGTACAACGTATTAAACCAGGTTTATTTTTTTAATTGTGGCAGATGCAAACGTACCATAGTGACACACGATGTTAGTAAAGAACAACGGGCTCTTGGACTGCCTGTAAACATCTTGAAGTTAATTATTCACTTGTCATTCATTCAGTTATTCATAAAGCAATTCATGTTCATTAGAACTAGAGTAATTGTTGGGGTATGGCAAAGCAAGTGGCAAAAACTCAATAAGCTTGAGCTATGCTAAGCCTGATATTTCTAAGGTTATTTAGGATTTTTAAATTACATACTGTAGATACTTCTCACTTGTGTTTGCTCATAATTCTAGCCTCAACTTGTTCTGAATCTAATGCTGGATGTAGGTTACAACCCGGCTGCATAAATTCCTAGAAACTGGAAATAAAATACATACTTCAGGCTTAGATGGATTAATATTTTAATTATGTGTTTTATTTAGGATAATCCTCATTTCCACTGTTTTTTTCAGATCACAGTGAGAGGAAAAAACAACATGGGAATAATTTGTCCTTTGAGTTGGAAGATACAATGAATTATACCACAAATGAAATATATTTCACAAGAGATTCAAACATTGCAGCCTGGCTGCTCATACAGTGGAATCACAGTGACATTAAGGAGAGTGTGACTCACTTAAGGCAGCAAGTTGCCCCAATAGCTCAAACCAAATGGTCTCATTTCTACACGGAATTCCACCTGTGTTAGGTCCCACCACTGTGTGCTACCATGTATTTGCTGATGGATCAAGGAATCATTAGTTATCACAGATCCCATCCAATGTAATCAAGCAGGGAGGTTAACCAGTTAACCTCTTACACCTTCCATTGCCTCATGCTTCTTTGTGATTCTGAGCTTGAAATCTGGAATTGTTCTCTGGTATCCTGCAGACTACATAGATCCCAAACTGAAGAACCAAAACATTCCATCCTTTTTGAGCATACAGGCAGTGACATGTGTGACAAATGGCTGTTACAGTTATTTAGCTAAGCACTGTGAAAATTAGGATATTTTATTGAATTTGTTGGATCTTCCGTGCTGCAGACCTGTGAGTGCTGAAAGTCTTGTAGGAACAGCTCACTGTTTGCTTACAGAACAGTCTGGTTTTTACCTCCGGCCCACGAGATAATTTTAAAAACATGCCTTGTTATTAAAATATTTTTGGATGCAGATTGTACCAGAAACTGTCAAACTTGGTGAAAAACAGAAGCTTTACTCAATCTACAAAGTATGAAACTACATCCATCACAGCAAGACTGAAGCACCTTACTCAAAATGAGTAAAGGGCATTTGTGCTATAGTGGCTGAAACAGATGGACCTTAAAATCTGCCATCAGCAACTAATATTTTGATATTGGAACATTTTTCAGAAATCAAAAGTTGGCAAATCTGGATATGTCCCATTATACCTCCCACTTGTTTTCTTCCAAAGTATTTTTCTTCTAGTATCCAGGTACCACTCCCAAACAGCAAACATGGGACCAAAGCTTTGCATATTTCCTCCTGTTGCAGAAACTCCTATATGAGTGGGAAGGAAAGAGCCATGAAAGGCCATCCCATTGAACCAAAGTGAAAACTACACTTGTGGAATGCTCACAGAACGTGCACCCAAGCCATAGCATGAGAAAGCAGCAGTGCACGTCAAGGCTAAGAAATCCCAGGGCCTTATGTACCAGATCATGATCCTCCTTAGACATTTGGAGTCAATTTGGGCTTGTTTCACCCTTTCTGCAGAAAGATTTGTGCCATCCTCGGTGGAACCTAAACCCAGTCTTGGCTTTTTGTGAGGAAATGGAGAAGAGAGATGTAAAGCTCGTCTTCGCTCAGGCTGACAGCCCGTTTCACACCCTCAATCCTGACCCACGTCTCCTGAAGCACAGCTCTCCTCTGCACACAGCTAGGCTGCTTATTTCCAGGGAATGGCTCCTGGGTATAGTTCCCTGGGCTGCAGTAGCTCATGTTCACACACCAGGGCTCCTTGCACTACCAAATCCTCTCCCGTTATTCCCTGGTGGGCATGTCAGAGCACCCAGCACACAATCCCAGCTCAGCACTGTGGCTGCCTCCGAGCCTGTCTTAGATAAAGACTTGGCCCTCAGAGGGAAAACACATCACAGAATACTGCAAGTTGGAAGGGACCCACAGGAATCGTCAGGGTTGGAAGGGACCTCTGTAGATCATCGTCCAACCCCCGTGCCAGGACAGGGCCACCTGGAATCATGGAATCATAGAATTACAGAATCAGCTGGGTTGGAAGGGACCTCCGAGATCATCAAGTCCAACCCTTGATCCAACACCGCCGTGGTTCCCAGACCATGGCGTTAAGTGCCACATCCAGTCTCTTCTTAAAAAGCTCCGGGGACGGAGAATCCACCACTTCCCTGCCTAGGTTTGGAATGTCTCCAAGAGAGGGAGACTCCACGACCTCTCCAGGCAGCTTGTTCCAGCGCTCTGCCATCCTCAGTGTAAAGTTCTTCCCTGTGTTGAGGTCAAACTTCGTGTGTTTTAATTTACGGCCATAAACATGGACCATGAAGCCCTCGAACAGCACCGTCCCCAGCAATCCCAGCCCGTGCCCGAGGGCGTTGTCCAGACGCCCCCTGAGCTCTGCCAGGCAGGGGCAGGATATATTGACGGCCTGGATGTGCACAGATCCCGTTTTTATCCCCGACACGAGGCTCTCTGGTCCGTGGGAGCTCCAGGACCCTCTGCCCCCTCACACCGCACCCTCCCTGCCCCCACAGAGCCCCGCCCCGTGACGTCACGTAACCACGCCCCCATCCGCGAACGTCACTGCGCGCGCGCCTTCCCGTCGTGCCCCGCGGGACCCGTTTGCGCCTCCCCGGCGGCGGCGGCGGCGGCGCTGCCCGGCCCGGCCTGGTCCCGTTCCCGAACCATTCCCGGCCTGGTCCTGTTCCCGAGCCATTCCCGAGCCATTCCCGGCCTCTGCCCGAGCCATTCCCGGCCTCTGCCC